CTACGTGCTTGATTTAAAAAAAAATGTTTCAGATTAATATTCTGGGGAATATGTACTATTGTCAGAAAAAAACTGAACCACTCACTTAAAATTACGTTGCAAGATTTATCTACCAAACTGACAGACTTGAACAAAGCTAATAGCGAGAATCTATAATAAAATAATATCTATTTGCAAACAAAAAATAACGCATAAAATTTTGATTAGATATTCTATATATTTGTAATTACTGGTTTATGATTTAAAAAGTTATTTTGATAAATACCTTAGATCTTAAAATGTTAAGTTTCTAATTACCAAAATAGTTAAATAATAAGGCTTTAATTGGTATTAGGGGGATATAAATAACTTTTACAAGCAAACAAACGAAAAATCATCTAATTTGCGATAAATCGCTCAATCTGGCAATGATGCTTTCTTCTTCTTCTCATTCCCTTCAACTGAACAGATCGTAGCGACCTCTGGCGGAGGATGCAAAATCAGTGCATTTACAGATTTTACCTAAAGAATCAATGCAGTTACCGATATAAATTCGCTAATTCCTCCATCAACGATATTAAACTAATATATATAATTTGAGAAATGAACATTTTCATTTTTTGCAGTTGAAGGAAAATTCCATCTACATCCTAAGGGAATATATACCAAAGAAGTTATAGTATCTGTTGTTTAACGCAGAATATTTTATCAGACTAATTTTCTCGTGGCCCCTAAAGCCGGCCCTGTTTAAAACTAGACGAAACAATTGCATCAGGCCAAGGCAACTGGTGCAAACGCGGCGGACCAAATGAACACTGCCCAAGAATCTCACTTGGCGCTCCGAAGTCGGAGAAAGTCCAGGAAAGAAGACCCCGGGGGAGGCGCCCAGCTGAAAATGGTGGTGCTCGGTATAAAAACCGGGCGGCTTTTTTCTAACGTATCAGTTTCGAATTTTCGTTTCTTTGCGCTCCCAAACCTCCACACCAAGTAAAATGTTCGCCTGCAGCAAAGTGAGTGATTTTCTTTAAGTGAAAAGTTGGCGTGTGGACAGTGAAGTTTAACATAAATGTCCTAAATGGATTTGTTTATATTTTTTTATTGAAAATTTATTTTTATTCTAATTTAAATTCGATTTCCGTACATCAGTACAAAAAAAAAATAAATAAGTTGTACCCTGGGTGATAAACAAATTAATCGAAAAAATTGGAAATACTAAACATCATTTTAAAATTAAGAATGTTTACTATATTACAAAATATAAAAAGTGAAAATAAATTAAATTATAATATCCCTAAAATTATTTTATAAAAAGTAGGTATTCATTTATTTAAATGTTACAGTAAAAAAAAAACATTGGATAGTTCACACACTTTAGTGGATTTGAAGCAGATTTATAGTAAATTTCGTTCTGTCTGTTTTTAATAATATGAATATTTATTTTTATATTGTAAAGGGTATTCAAGGACCATTCTTATTTCATTTACTTTTGTATTTGATATAAAAAAATGATATGGTCTATGGTTTTAGGAAATTTTCTTGCGATTTCATAGCAATTCCAGACACATTCAATTGTTGAATGTTGTAAATTTGTTTTTAAATACAACACCCTGTAAATTTTTATATATTTGGATGATTTAAGATATCACCAATGTGTTAAAAAGAGATTCCTTTTAATTTCTAGTCGACTAAGACTTTGAACTGATAGTTATTGAGGGCTTGCAAAGCATTTTTTTTATGATGAGCAGTTAAATTGATAAGTAACAAAAGTATTTAACTATTTTATTATTTTATTAGGTGATCATCGCCTTGACTCTATTCTTTGCCCTCTGCCAAGCTGGATATCTTGGAGGTGGTCTAGAAGAGGGGTACGGTGGCCACATTGGCGGTGGGTACGGCAGCCACATTGGTGGTGGATACGAAGGTGGCTTGGATATTTCAAGTTATGGAGGTGGGGACGACAAAGGATATGAAGAAATAAATGTAAGTAAAGAATGTAATGTTACTCTCCCTATGCAATATTTTGAAAAGTTAACATCGCCACGTAATAATGATTTATCTTAACAGGTTCATCCAAAATACCAATTCAATTACGCCGTTCACGATCCTCACACCGGTGATGAGAAACAGCACCAAGAAGAACGCGACGGTGACGAAGTTAAAGGCTCATATTCCCTCAAGGAGGCCGACGGTTCCACTCGTGTAGTAGAATACAAAGCCGACAAGCATAACGGATTTAACGCCGTGGTGCACAAGATTGGAGGTGGTCATGGCGGTTATGGAGGTGGCCATGGCGGTTACGAAGGCGGATATGGAGGTCACTTATAAAGACTTAGTGTAGTCAATTTTTTTCAAGTATATCAATAAAAGAACTCTGTCGTACATCTTAAATTCTTTTCAAAATTGTGGTGTTTAATGTGGTTAGACAGAAAGGGCAATAAAATAAAAAATTTGCCTTGGTAATAATAGTTTGGATAAAACGCTTATAATTTCTAAAATAGTTTGAAAATCTTGAAATACGTGCGTTATACAGAAATTATAATAAATTCTATTTGCTAGTATGTTAAATCTACCAATCAAGTTGATTCTTGTAAAATTACTTTTAACATATTGTTCGTAGTTAGTATTAACGATATTAAATTCTCATTTTATTGATAGACTGTACTGTATCCTGTAAATTGAAATAATAAAAAAATATTTTGTTTAATAATATTTATATTATAATAATATACTGGGTATAATTTTAAACGGGGATCGTATATATGCGATAGCAACCTCCAACGTTTAGAAACACATTTCAAAAGTCTCCTGTGAACACTGATCACTAGAGAGCGGACAATGTGTGACTTTAACCCGAAGAATAGGTCAAATTTTGGTAGAGATGTGTACGCGTTCAAAAATGTATTGTAAATATAAACTATGTAAAATATAATTATTATGTATAGCAAATATATCGTATTATCCTCGCGAAGATTTGTACCCTTTATTTAAAATCCATAAATCATGTGAACAGGTTAAATAACGAGAAAATAATTAAGTTAATTTAGTTCTAAAGAAATGAAATGACACTCGCGCCCATCTCTAGTCTATCCGTCGACATCGGTTGCGTTTATCGAATTCCTATTGGTCAGAATTCAAACTGCAGCCCTGTTATGAATGGAGCGTGAGTTGGACTATTCTATCATGTGCGTCGCCTGAGGCTATTCGTTACATTGACTCCTAATTTCCAATTAAAAGAACGACACTATTTTTAACCGAACTTTATTTAATAAATATGTAGTATACAATTTCTGATTTTCTAAATATTTTATAACGCCTAAAAATGTATGTACTGTAGAATTTTCGTGAATTATCACGTAAATTTCCGATGCATATCCGGCACGCCGTTGCGTCATGGTTAATGTATCTAGGTTTATGAATGACATATCTATGTTCAAGGTTAAAGTCACAAATTGTCCGCTCTCTGCTGATCACACTAGGAGCATGCTTTGTTGCCAAATCTCATATTTCTTGAATTGCATACATTTTTTCAAAATATCAAACAGAAATTTAACAATGAAGACACAAACACCATACCCCCACTAAACAATGAAACAAATAACTTTATAAGGTTATATGCTTACACAAATTCTATTTCGATTGCAGTGAAAATTGATACTTCACCCAGGTCGCGAAATTATTTACCATATTACACCTTTTCCTAAATTGATATTACAACAAGGACAATGTTAGACACTTCGACATGCAAACTGAACACTGCTTTAAAGAATAGGAAATACTTTTTATTAAAAATTTTTTAATGTTCGACAACACTATGGTGACGTTAAAATAACACGTGGCAAAGTACTACAAAGGCAATCTGTTTTTCCGAAATTATTATTCATTGTAGTTTCGCTATCTGTCACTCCGTCACTTTCACAGTTGGTTAGAAAAGGCAACAATGGGCAATACTGATAAGCGCGCACAAACAACCAAGTTCGGAAGCTGCGCAGTAGCGGTATAGACAAGAGTTTAAGAGCAGTTTAAAAGACTCGATTATTTGCTTGATTTAAAAAAAAAATGTTTCGGATTAGTATTCTGGGGAATATGTACTATTGTCCCAAAAAAACTGAACCACTTACTTAAAATTACACTTTGTATACTGGATGTATTTATTTATAGGTACCGTCGTTGATATGGTATGTAAAAAACAAATGAAGTTCAAATATTTTTTATTAAATAGATCAACAATGGCAATATGTGGAAACTAAAAATTTTCCAAATTTGCTTAACTAAGCTGCCTATGATTTCTTTTCAAACGCTAGTTTTTGAAAAACTGTGTAAAAAAACTTTTTTCTACAAACGTCAAAAAATGACAAGGTTTGCGCATTGACAACAATATGCGAAGTGACACTTTTTTTGGATTCTTACGTTACCATGACACCGTGTGCGAAATACTTCGCGCACTAGGGTGCGAAGTATTTCGCACACTGCATGTAAATTAATAAGAGTTTTGTATTCCAATCTTTGAAAAAATGAAGCAAAACTCCAAATTATTATTTATTTTTAAATGAATAACAATTAAATACTTTTAAAATAATGCTAACAGCACATTTTCGGATGCTTTTCTTGCTTTATTTGTTTCACACCACTCCTTAAATTGCCGATATGCATTTTCATATTGGCGCTTCGATTTTTCCGGTAAAAGATTTGAAGTTACCAAATTGGCCGCATCTGCCAAATTAGGTGGGGTACTACTTAGTTCATCGTCACTAGCAATTTCCATTATTTTAAATAATATCTGGCACTTAAAAATTGAAGACGCGAGCACAAACGTCACTTTAAAATAATTATTATTGTTGTCAACAACAGCCACTTTGTTTCCATAGTAACAGTGAAAATTTGATTAGGAAAGACATTTTAAGCCAGCTCAACACTATTTTCTATAATAAATTAGGCATTTTACTTATTTATAATATTTTTAAGAGATAGATTTTGACGTTTGTAGAAAAAATATTGTTTGCATCTCGTGCGCGAACTACTTTGGTGGTCTCGAATAATTTTTTAACTCGGCTTCGCCTCGTTAAAAAATTCAATTCTCGATCACCAAAGTAGCATTTCGCGCACTAGATACAAAAATAACTATT